GACCACACCACACAGCTTGGTGTCATTGGCAAACTTGCTGAGGGTGCACTCAATCCCACTGTCCATGTCTCTGACAAAGATGCTAAACAGCGCCAGTCCCAATACTGACCCCTGAGAAACGTCACTCGTCACTGGTCTCCACTTGGACATCGAGCTGTTGACCGCAACTCTTTAAGTGCGACCATCCAGTCAATTCCTTATCCACCGTGTGGTCCAGCTGTCAAATCCCTGTCTCAAATTTAGAGACAAGGATGTCGTGTGGGACAGTGTCAAATGCTTTGCACAAATCCAGGTAGACGATGTCAGTTGCTCTTCCCTTATCTACCAACGCTGTAACCCCATCGTAGAAAGCCACCAAATTTGTCACGCATAATTTGCCCTTAGTGAAACCATGTTGGCTGTCACCAATCACTTCCTTATTTTCCATGTGCCTTAGCATAGTTTCCAGGAGGATCAGCTCCATGATCTTGCCAGGCACAGAGGTGAGACTGACTGGCCTGTAGTTCCCCAGGTCTTCCTTTTTTCCCTTTTTAAAAACGGAGGTTATGTTTTTCCCTTTCCAGTCAATGGGAACTTCACCGGACTGCCATGACTTCTCAAATCTGTAGAGTTATCTGTAGTCATCTGCATTTGAGCACTTAATAAGTAAAAATGGAGAATGTAATAGAAGAGTTGACTAGAAACTTTCTCATTTTGATTATTTTTAATGAAAAAAGTAAAACAAAAAATAATTCAATGTTCTCCCTCCTTCCCTCCCTTTTTGTTTTGCTTTGGTTCACATTCTCTTGTAGTTATTAGGAAGTCACCGTCATGATGGTGTAAGTTTGAGCCTTGGTTTTCATGTCAAAGTCTCAATAGCATCGCTCAGGGACTTTTTGCCTCTCTATGGTAGTGCCCTCTCAGGTACACTTTGTCAAGCCCAACAGCAGCTGCATTAGTGGTTGGAAATCGTGACCTGCGCCTTGCTGGAAAACCTTGACTTATGTCTTTTGACTATTTGGATGGTGTGAAAGAGCCCAGGTTGTCTGGCATCTGGGAGGAGGTGGTACAGATGAAGATCACATCAAAGGATGTTTTAGGGAAAGTTTCCACCTTTCAGGGGTGTGAAAAACAGTTTTTTTAAGTTCTCTGTTGTGGAGTCCTGTCAGCTTCAGCATGACAAGAAAAATGTTATTAAAACCTCAGGGAAAGGCTTCCTTGTCATTCCCATGATACTCCCTCCAATACCAGTTGGCTCAAAGAGGAGTTTCAAGGTGTTACCTTCAGGTTATGTTGCAAGGAGGCAGGGTGCTGCATACAGATTACCACCATGAGTAAGCCCCGTGATTGTTAAATCCACTGTACAAAGACTGCCTAGCAAAAAAATACAGCATTTCTTGATAGTTGCTCAGTTGCCCACTCATTTCACACAATTTGTGCTTTTAATTCTCTCAGATTGCTGTGGATGCCTGTGTCCCCACAGCCAAGCTTCTGGTTCAGTCAACGCTTCTTGTTAAAGGAGTAGTTAATTTCTTTTTCTGTCTTATACAGATGATGAAGAGGTCTCCATTAGTGCAGATCCTGAGCCAGCTGACCTCCAGGAAAGCCCTGTGAACAACCCCACAGAGGAAAGCCTCGGTGAGCCTCCATGCATCAACACAGTGACCTCAGAAAGTACAGCTCCAGAACAGCTAAATGGATACAGTGTGAACAGTGTCGATAGCCCAGGGGCTGTCAAACCACCTGGGGAAGTCAACCAGAAAAGCTTAAACGAAGAGCTAGCAGGAGATGGGGAGGTTGATGTGGTGCCAGTTCCTGAGCCCTTGGAATCCATCCCAGAAGTGCTGCCTTCTTTGAGTGCTACGGACCTCACGGAGCAGCTGGCTCTGCTGGCTTGCATGTCTCCTGAGACTGAAGTTAGGGAAAATAACGAAGTCAATTCTGGTACTCAGGGAGATGGTGGAGTCTTGACCAGCATAGAAACGTTAGATCTTGATGAGGTGAGTGCAGATGTGCATGCTGGCAAGGACCTAGAGAAGAGTCAGGAAGAAGAAGGGGCTTCAGCCCAGGAGGAGGAAGACAACAAGCTACAACTAAGGACCACAGCAAAGAGGAAAAACAGGCCGTGCTCCCTGCCTGTGTCTGAACTTGAGACAGTCATAGCTTCAGCTTGTGGTGAGCCAGAGACCCCTCGCACGCACTATATACGGATCCACAACCTGCTCCACAGCCTGCCCTCAGCACAGATGAGCAGCGATGGGGAAGAAGAGCAAGATGGTGGCAACGGTGGGGAGAACGATGAGGAGTCTACAGTCAAGGAGGCATTGGAGAAGGAGGTGGTCAGTGAGAGTGAGACAGTGGCAGCAGAGCCTCCTCTGGAAAATGAGGCTGAAGAGAACTTCAGCCAGAGCACGGTGCCTCCTGGGACCTTGGATGAGCAACTCTCCAACTTAAATGATGGGCTGTTGGATGGGGAACACCCCAGGACAGGAAGCGAGAGCGAGTCGAGCTCCAGGCCCAATGGTGACAACGAATGCGAGGCGTGCGACACTTCTTGCTACAGCCCCTCTTGCTATAGCACTTCCTGCTACAGTACCTCCTGCTACAGCACTTCTTGCTACAGCACCTCCTGTTATGACAGTAACAATCGCTTCTCCAGCCATACCCGCTTCTCCTCTGTTGACAGTGCAAAGATTTCTGAGAGCACGGTCTTTTCCTCACAGGATGATGATGATGAAGAGAACAGTGCTTTTGAGTCAGTGCCAGATTCAGTACAGAGCCCTGAGCTGGACAGGGAGCAAGTGGATGGCTCCTCCCAGTGGCCAGATGAACTAGTAGCTCATGGTGGGAATCCACAAAGAGCCACAGAGAGTCTAGACACCCCAATAGCAGGTCCAAGCAGCAGAAGAGAAGGTTAGATCCTGAGTATCGATGCGCTGAGCAACCCTGATTATCTGGATGTCACAGAAGGCATCAGATAATTGAGGTTTCAGATAGCTCATGGTTTATTTCATACAAATTTGGGGGCTGTGAGCTGGGCCAGATATCAGGGAGGGTTGGATAATTGAGCCTGTCCTTAAAAATCCCAGCAAAACCAGATAAATCAGATGGGGATCTGCATATATGGATTCCTGTAGATATACGTGCATCATTATAAAATCAAGATTAGCTACTGTAGTTATGTGGCAGATCAGCATTATCACATCCACCAACTCATTCCTTATTTCCTGGGATTGCTCCATTTCACATATCTGATGTGCTGCCATGTCTCTGAGAGTCGGTGAGGGGACGAGCTTGTGCTTGTTGAGGGGCAGATATGCTGATTTAAGCCAGCTAAAGATCTGGGCCAGTGTCTGTATATGATTGGTAGGCATGCACAGTCATAAGCATGGAGAAATGCAAATATTTGTCTCTTACAAACCCAGTTTTCTAGCCCTGTTTGTTCCAATTCTCCAAATATCAAACAAATCTACCTCAGATTTCACAGACCATAGGGCAACTCAACAGAGATTTTTTTTTTCTTAGGTGCTTTGAAAATTGAACTACATTGAACAAAATTCTCTCCTTATCCTCCTCTAGAGATAAAACATACTTAAGAAAGTAATTTTTTGTCTTTGTAATTTAGGTACTGTTTTTCCCAATCCCGCCAAACCGTTACATTAAGTTCCTCCCTTTGGTAACTCATTTTATGTTGTATGGAGTTACGTGAAGGGTGGGTTTGACTACTCATCTTTTCTTCAGCTAGTGTATCATTTTTCTTCAGCTAAAGAAGTAAAGGCCTCAGCAGCAGCTAAGGAGTATGCAGAAAGGTCAAGAGGTAGTCTTTGCATTCCCAAATCCTGAGTCATCTGTCTCCCACTATAAGTGACAGCAAATTAAAATGGCACCAAAAGGATAACGTATTTGGGGATCACTGGGAAAACCCAACCAAAGCATCCTTCTACCTTTTCCTTCTCTATTCCCAATTTATTTACCCCAACCTTCCCACTGCCACAGACCCTGCCCCAACAGAAGGAAAGATGTAAGAGTGGCCTTACATGCTGGACTGCGTAAAGACTTTAGACAGCTGGGCCTAAGCAATTATTCACTCTGCAGAGCAGAATCTAGCCCAAAGAATTAAATTCTCAGAAGTACACAGAGGTATAGAAACCCACAGTTTCGTTCCTTGCAGGTGAGGGTCTTTGTGTGTGGACAGCATTTATGTGCAAGTATACCTAAGAGGGCACGAGCGTGTGTGTGTGAGACCATGCTTACAGATTTGATGGTTATTTTGGACTGTGTGTACTTTTGAGAGGGGATGTGGGGGGAGAGGGTGTCTTCTGCATATGGATTCAGTACAGCTCCAAGATTGCGTCCCTTGAGCCTGTATAAAGGGCACTGCAGCGTTCACGGTGGCTTTGCTTTGATTAGCTGAGAGAGAGTATGTCTGAAGGGCAGCCCGGCTCTTAGCACTCTTTTGATATCACCGGGGGTGCTTCAGGAAATGTGCATGTTGCTTCATGACTTGGCAGCTGTTACAAATACAGTAGATGTGGTCACCTCCATCCAATCCAGGTGACTGGTACTACCATGCTTCCACTGGCTTGGCGTAACTATCTTGACTAGGGGAGAGTCAATTATGGTGAGGTAAGTAAAGAAAAAAAGATGGATGATCTGGTAGTTGGTGCTACAACACCTGTAGTAACAGCACAGTTTTTAAGGCTATGAGAGATGGAGTTTCAGCACTGAGTAACAACTTACATAACTCTGCTGTCTGTTCAAAACATGCAGCAGATGCAACTGTGAGATACGCCTATACACAAGCGGCTTAATGAAGACATTTAACAGGCCATACGGTATCATCAGAGCACCTAGAAGAGGGAGTATTTTTGTCTAAGCGATTTTTCTCACTTCTGGATGGTGTGAGATTTTTTTACAGTTTTATACAAAATTGGCTTCTGCCTTCTAGCTGTTGGTTGTTTAAAGAAAAAACATATTTTCTGGTAGATTTTTTTTACATTTGATAGCTATATGTTTGATTTCTTTACAAAATGTTCATTCTTAGGCTATTAAGATTCTGACATTAAAGACAGCTAAACCAGCCAGCACACAGTGAGTTTGGCTTAGCTGAATGGTCTGATTTTTAATTTTGAAGTATCCTTGTGTAATTTTCTGGTGATGTTGGAAACGCTAAATATATTCTTTCCCTGAGCTGCATCTTTCTGATGCATGTAAATGCTATATTTATGCAATTCAGATTGTATCTGTATTAACAGGCCCACCTGGAGCTGGAGGTTATAGTGAAAAACTGTTACTACACAATATGAAAATGTGTCCGTTAGGAACCAGAACTATTTATCCTACTAAGGTTTTAAGGACAGACCAAGAAGGAATCTTAATTCTGGAACCTGTGAAGTTCTAATGTGCAGGTTCCTTATTCTCACAGTTAAGTCTAAGATAAGGAATGCTTTTTCATCCCTACTATAACTTCTTAGTTTCTTAAAGGATTCTATAAACATTGACTAGATCTTAAGTTACTTGTTCCTTTCAACGGAACATGAGTTTGGACATTTGCTTAGGTTTCATTTATTTCATATTTGGATAGACATATATACAATGTTAGTGTTTAAAAACTTCCTCTGCACTGTCTACTGTGTGTGTCTCTCTTCTTCTTCTTTCCCTTTTCTGTATCTCAGGTCTTCCTTCTTTATCTCAGATCCTGACTATGTCTCACTATCTTTTGTCCTCCTCTTCTACCACCTGTCTACTACCTGTTTCTGGTCCTTCTCTCATTCTACCTCCTTCTACCCAAGATGGACTCTTTGAATTTTGAAAAATACCTATAGAAGGGGATGATCTTCTGCTTTGCGGGGACTGCAAAATCCTGCCATTCCGGTCCGCTTATACAGCCACTGATCTTTTGGAAAAGCAGAGAAAGATCCAAGGCAGCTTTTAGCCTCGTATCCATCCACTGATGGGATGAATTAAAAGTTGGAACCAGGATTTTGCATGTTCCTGCCAATTTCTGCAGAAGCTTGAGTTTGGTTGTACATGCACAGTATTTCTCAGAGATCAAGCCTGATTCTTCTCTCGCTTGCACTTGTGTGTCTATGAGTCCAGAATCTGGCCCATAATAGTTTAGCGTTGACTCAAACCTGAGATCAGAGCCTTGATTGCATTATTTTAATAATTCTTTGGCATATGAGTTGTTATTAAAATAGTGCCTGAAAATAGGAATAACCAGAGCTGCTAGTACACCAGGCTAACCTATTTAAAAAATAATCGCTTGTTTTACAGTAGCACATTTTTTGAACCACATTGTGAAAACAGTGAATGACTGTCAATGTCTTGAATATCTTGTCCGTAGGTGATTGTCCTTTACTTCATAATTCTCAGCCAGTCAGCCAGCTTCCTTCTCTGAGGCCTGACCATCATCACTACCCAACTATCGATGAGCCTCTTCCACCAAGTAAGCTTTAGTTTTTTAATTTATTGCATTTTTCAGCTTTTCCTGTTAACTCAAACAGTGTGGAGGTCAGTATGTCTTTCTAAATAACCCCATCTGTTCTGTATATACATTCTCCAGAACCCAAGCAAATATGCCCTTTTGTTTCCTTTATTTGATCCTGACTTCAAGTGTTGTTGTGTTATTTTGGACAAGCTCCATAACCTCCCTCTGCCTTAGTCCGTCTTCTTCCTTAGCTACTGTGAAATGAAAATAATAATACTGCCCTGTTTCCAGTCAGTGTGTTTAGACTGGAACGAGTGGGTATCTGTCAGGTGTTCCAGAAGCCTTACTATAAAGCTTTCTGGGTGGTGTATCAACAAAGTACTCTGATTTTTCTAGAACGTTTGTCTCTAAGTTTTCTATAACCAACTTCAAAGATGATTTGGGATGGCAGTCCCTGTGGTCTGTCAGCTCTGCTTGCAGGTCCAGCAGGAACCCTTTCACAGTCAGGACGCTTCTGGGACAGACAGGTCCAAACCTGAGCAAAACCAGCAGAAGCTGGGAAAAGGCAGCTCGCATAGAGTGGTCTTGTACTGTCTTTGGAATTTTATGTTCATAATGGACTGTAATGGCGTCTGCAGTTGGGTTGGATAAAAATGAGAGGGTCTTAAGTAGTGTGATCGATTAATGGGATTTTTGCCACCGAATCAACTGCTGGAAATGTTTTCACTTCTCTCTGTAGCCTTTACCTTTGTGTATTCCTGGAGGATTACCCTGCTTTTTGCATTGGCGTTAAGTGCCCAGCAGAGCGCACTCTGTGCCCTGCAACATGCTGCTGATCACCTTCAATTTCAGCACGATTTAACAACCTAAAATGTGCAGTGCCTCAAAAAAATAACCAGGTGTATAAACAAAGCAGTCTATTTTATTTTGTTTTTTTCAAAGCCCAAGTAGGGAACACAGTTATTTGGCCTATGGTGCCCTTGACAAATAATTCATCATTTACCAACCATGCTGTCAGTATTCCCTAAGCCGAAAATAGCCCCCGATGCTGGCATTAGCTGCACAGTAGCATGAATGATTCAAATGCCTTTAGCCCAGTGAAGGTCTTATTAGAGTCCCACGGTGGCTTGCCAGTGAATGATGAAATGGGAACGGTTACCTCTGTAACAGGCAAATATTTTTCTTCCTCCCACTCTTACCTCAACATTTTGTGAATAGAGCACGTTCCCCACTAGATGACTTAATGATAGGACACTGACACCAGCTCAGGTAAACAAAACATACTGTGAATCTGTTCCATATTCTTCCATCACCGATTAATACATTTTTCCTCTTTCTTATTATCCTCAAAGGGCAAATATTTCTACCACTGGTTTTCACAAGTGCTTTCACAACAGTGTTTAAGGACATGAAACGCAATGTGTGATGATACAGTACAGAAGTGATATCCCTTTGTAGGATTTTATTTTAGCATTTGCATATAACATCATTTTTACAATAAAGGCTGATACCGTGGGCTTAAATATATTGATCTTAATAGGAATAGACTGTACTAAGTTAATTTTGGGGGGAGAAAAGTTGAATTGGATAATATCACCTAGGAAGCCTGCTTCCAAAAACTCTCCATGAAATTTTAAGATAATTTCAAAATGAAAACTATAGTTTTAATCTAGAAATGCTTCTTTTAGCATTCAGTATCACTATCTCAATGCCTTTAATGCCTCTTAATCCTAGATAAACAGTTCTGCAATCATGTGAAAGGAAGAAACTTTATGTGTTAAACCTGAGTTATATGATCAAACCTGGCTTACTTCTCACATGCAGCATTAGCTTCCGTCCATAAGTAGAGTTGAAGATAATTTGCCAGTGCTGCAAGTTCAGCATTGACTGGTTTTACTTCAGTCATGGAGAATCTTCTGGACAGTCATCTTTCTCTTTTGAATAGTTCTCTGAATAACTTTGTTTCATCATAACCCCACAACAGTTGGTCTCGGGGAAGAAATTTAATTTCAGACAGTTTTATTTAGGAAAGTAAGGTAGAACAGGTTCATTATTTATGTAGAAATGTCATAATGACCAGTCTGAATGTTAAGGCCTATACGAGATTGACAGAAGATTTGCAGAGTTTGTATGGCGTCATGATGGCATTAATAGTCACCCCTTATTATGCATGTGTTTGCTAGTACTGCTGGAAACCCTACAGAACTGAAGCCAAGAAAAATACATGTGCCCAGTTCAGAGCTGCTCTTTGCCGAAGGTGTGGCTGAGCTTGGAAAGGAAAAGACAGTGTATTTACTTTGCCCTGCCAGGATTATGGTCCTGCCAGAAAAAGTTGCGTCTTTTGGTATAAATCAGAGCAGTTTCAGAGGCTGCTGTGAAATATGACTCGGCTGATGGAGGGGGATCGCTGGAGAACAGAACCAGTACTGTCCCGTCCCCCAGCCTGTGCTCCAGCATGCTCTTGCTGTGAAGGTTAGATGGAGGTTAGTCTCTGTTGTAGTCACAGTCTTATTTTGCCTGAATAACTAACAAAAGACCCTGAGGGGATTTGGCTGCTTCCTAGATCACCTATGCCCCTAAAGTAGCATGAAGGGACTTGAGCACAGCTCAGAAGCAGAGTTCTGTCTGTCAGTTTACCCGTCAGCCTGTTTGTCTCTCTGTGCAGGTATCCGTCCATCTGTCCACAAATCTGGTATCATATGTAGCTTCAGTGACTTGTGTGACTTACAGGTTGTCTTGTGGGAAGGCAGAAAGTGCACCTGCCACCTGTGTACAACAAAAGTATCGGCACCTGCCACCCTTTGACAGCCTTCCCGGGTGACCAAAAGAAGAGCTATTCAGCTGATTAGAAATGCTGTTGCAAGGAGCAGTACTGCTACAGGTTTCTCAAAAGCCATGGGGGACGCAGTTCTTATGTGTACGTATATCCTATGCCAATGCAAGTGTCAGCCTGTGGTTTCAGGTATATAAACCCATAACGCAATGAATAAAGCAGTGCTCGCAGATAAGTGTAGTTCATCTCTGTACAAACTGCTGCTGGATGTCTGATACATCCAACAGAGATAGCCTTCCTGAAATTGTAATCCAGTCTGCATGATCCTGACCTGGTTTTTTCACTGTGACCTCCAAGCTCTGGAGAAGTTTTGTTGCTCCTAGATTTCTAAGTATTATGCTTAGGAGCTTAGGAACTCTGAGTTGTATTTAATTAGAGAGACGCTGCGATATAGCCTCTAGAGCCAGTAGTGCACAGGACTGGATTATGAGAAGCCCTTGTTTGACTGGGTAATTGGGTAGTATTATTCTTACTAAGTGTCCATCAGCAGGCTTCAGACCAATGTGCCCAGTTGGTGTCTTCTGTAGGCTGTCTAGAGCGTGGGTCTACAGCATCGCCTATAAGCTTCTAATTATCCATTGACCTTTATTATTCTCAACTTGTTACATGTATACTACAATAGTGTGGGGTGAGGGCTAGGATTTGTCCTTTGCCAGACAGCAGCAAGGAAAACGAAGATCTTAGTCATGTTAAGGTACATCATGTCACCTTTGATCTGGCCAAGATTATTTCCTTGAAGATATTGCAGATAGTGCATAGCTCCAGAAGAACCATTCCCCACCCACGGTGGTACACCTGCCACCAGGGACAGCATGCTCAGCAAGGCCAGAGCCTTTGGCCTGCCTTATGTGTCAGTCTGATTTCCTTCAATGTGCATCTGTTGTACTTGATGTGCTTTTTTTCACCGTCTTATGTTTTAGACATTGTTTTCACAAAGCTGTGGTCTTGTTCTTGAAACAGCTACTAGATCCTTGGGAAACTTTACCTGGTGGGAGGAAGAGAGTCCTCTCCTTGAAATTATATAGTGATGTTCACAGTGAGAGACACTGTGTGTGTGTACCTGTACTGTGACTATAGGTTTTGCATGTATAAGGACTGAGGTACTTCCAGTCAGCTTTGAAAAAAATAATGCATGTACATATGGCTCTTGTTGTTTTGGAATCTTACAGAAAATTTCTCCAAGGACTCCCAGTGCCCATCTTCTAAGGTTTGTGGGATTAACGTGTCAGGGGCAGCCAGCCAAAAACTTAAGACAGCCTACACTTGGCTGGGATCAGCCCAGGTATGGGAACTGAGTTTAGCCAGGGCTAGCATTCAGGGGATGGGAACTGGTCATGAAGGACAGGTTTCCAGAGACAGCAGGAAGAGGTACAACTTCAGTCCTGCTCTTAGAGAGTAGGAGATAAAATACATAAAGTATGAAATCCAGCTGATCCTGAATTTGATCATAGAAAACCATAGAAGAAGGAATGGACTCGTCAGGGAGTAGGGTATCATAATAAGAGTATGGGAATAAGAGGAAGTGTTTGCGCCCAAAGGTAATCACCATATGTGGATTTGTGTGTGAATGTGAGTGAGGTTTGTATATAAACACGAGTAGAAAGTATGTGCATATATTTACATAGATATGTCATCAGCTGATGAATCATGTAGAAATATGAAGCTAGCAAGTCTAATTTATATCACTACTCCATACATTCCAGCCAATTTGATATGTGGCTTTGCTAGCTAACTCACTTCTGAATTTCTCCTGTTCCAAACACTTTTTTTATCAACATTACCATTTTCCACAAGCCATCATATACCAAATAACTTAGTTTTCAATCATGGGACAACTTAAACATTAGTAGGAAACAATAGTGATGGAAGGCTCGATATTATGCTGCAGACTTTCAATCTGGATGGCATTCATCAGAGCAATAGATTTATGATACTAATCTACTTACAGAGATTTCTAAGGATATGTCCAACCAGGCTGTGATCAGTTTTCAGGGCAGCCTTTAATTGCTGTACGGTATCCTTCGAAGCCACTTTATAAAAAAGAGAGAACTGAAACTTGTTTGTTCTGAAACATAACAAAAAAGAAAACATGGGATTTGCCATATTATTTCAGATGTAATCCTTTTCTAGTAAGGGTCGGTTCTATGTGGCTACCCCGACCTGCAGTGAATCCAGCCAATTAGTATTACTAATTGTAAAATTATCCAGCCCTTTAAAAAATGGAGCCGCTATGTCACTTGTTTTTCATAGTCTATGGTAGTGAATTCCATAGGCTACCTATGTGCTGTGTGTGAAATGTTTATGTATATGCATATATAGAGACAAGCACATAGTATATATACACATTTGAATGTATACTTTGAATATATACACATAATATATATTGCACGCATGTAGACTATATATATGTGGTATCTCTTGTGTGTATATACGCTGTCTGTGTATATGTGTGTGTGTATATCTATCTCCCGCACTTAGGTTTTCTGGAAGGCATCACACTGACAGCATCACCCCTTCCTTTTTTTCCAACCCTAGATTGGGAAGCTCGGATAGACAGCCATGGGAGGGTATTCTACGTTGATCACGTCAACCGAACCACTACGTGGCAGCGCCCCACAGCCGCAGCAACGCCGGATGGGATCCACAGGTCTGGCTCTATCCAGCAAATGGAGCAGCTGAACCGGCGGTGAGCACTTGCACCTATATTCCCTTGAGATCTGCGCTCCCTTTTTTCCACACTGCCCCAGCGGCTTCCTTCCTTCCCCAGTGCATTGCGTTGGCTCCCTAAGGATTTGTTTTTCCTCCTTGTCCAAGTCCAATGTACGCATTCCTGTCCCTGCTGATGATGTCTTTCAGCCTGCTGGTGTGCCTGCTGTGGGTGTCCAGTACCCAAACTTGCCCACACGAGAAGCGCTGTTTGAGTGAAAGATGTTGCAAAACGTTTCAAACAGCAAGAAGAGGTTTTTGGAAAACTTCTTTGAAATGACCCTCAGAAGAGAAGGGAGTGTTTTTCCAAAAGATGGAGTCACTTTTGCTATTTAACTGTAAGAGCGGTATCAATGGGCTGGCATCTAGTGCTACACCGCAGAGGTTTCTGAGCTGACTGTTATTGAAATAGTGTTGCCATATCAGTGTGGCATTTCTACTCAAGCTAATTAGGCCTGTTGAAAGGTCTGTCTCCTTTTCCAGGGCAGAGCACTGCTCTAATAGGACTGTACACATTTCTAGACGTAGACAGATCTGCTTAGTGTTGCACTGGGCCCTGTAAATCTGTCAGTTCATTCTGAGCTGGCTGAGATATCTCTTAACATGGTGCACATTTTCCCTTTGTTTGACTACTCCACACATAGATTTGTGTATCATTTCCTTCTCATGCTTGCTTTTGGGACTGAATTTAAGAGGAAAGAGAAAAAATAAACAGTTGGTCAAAATCCTCCCTTTTTACTTCAGAAAAGGGGTTTTTTTAATTCCCTGCTTACTGTAATGATACGGTTTCTAGAAAAAGACATGCAAAACTGAAATTATATTCTAATCATAGCATGCAAAATGCCACAAAAGTTTTTTGGTCTTTTTTTCTGTGCTAAGAGAAGGATCTGCAGCTGAGAGAAGGATGCAGAGTTTTAAAGTACTCTTTTCAGAGTGCAGAATAGTTTGGGAGTTACTCTGTGTAAAGAGAACTGGGCCCTGAATGATAACGACTAGAAAGTTACTGTAACTTGTGGAGAGCACACCAGCCTTCTTAAAGTGGTTGTTTTGCAACATAAGTTGACACCATCAATACACTCTTGAAGAATTTCTCCATTTTTTCGCCAAAATTCATTATTTTGGATGGCATTTCATAAATGTGTTATGTCTTGCAGAGGTGAAAGAACCTGCTCGGTGCCTGTTTTCATTATAGCTTTCCTCAGAATGTGTCAAGCTACCACGTTAATATTAAAAAAAAAAAAAAAACCCCAAACCTAAAGAAAGTGAATGTTTAATGTAGATTATTTCAAGGGACTTACATGACTTCTCTGCCGTTTAGCATTTGTCTTTAAGAGGGATTTGGGCCATGTCAAAGCTCAGACTGTTTGGCTGCCACTTAGCAAGTTATCTGCCACAGAAAGCTCTGTTGTGGACATAGATCAGCTTTTTTTTTTCCTTCTTTTCTTTTTTTTTCTTTCCTTTTTTCCTTTTTTCTTCCTCGCTCCCCTCGCTCCCCTCGCTCCCCTCGCTCCCCTCGCTCCCCTCGCTCCCCTCGCTCCCCTCGCTCCCCTCGCTCCCCTCGCTCCCCTCTCTTTCTTTTTTTTATTTTTTTCTTTTTTTTCTTTTTTTTTCTTTTTTTGAGATTAAACTCATGTAAGTGCAGCACTACCAGGAAAGGAATAAGTGCTTGTGAGAGTCTGCGTAGCAATTTACCATTCTGTTAGTTAACGCAGATTAATCATTAAACCAGCTATCTCAGCAGAAACTGAAGGATAGGCATTGTCTTTGTGACGACCTTGCTTCAAACTTTATTATTCCATGTTTTCATGTAGACTGCCTGGCTTTCTTGGTTATGACTTGATTATCACTGGTTTGGGTTGGGAATTGACAGTTAACAGGACTGACATTCTTTGAATCTCCCTATTTTTGGTATTCACATATCCAATTACAAAGTGAGAAGTATAAAGGGTTTTCAGCAGTGGCATATCTCTCCTTACCTGAGTCCCATTGGAGACTAAGCACTTTGCAACTTATTAAACATGAACTGTCATGGCTTCTTGGGACGGAGGAAAAAAACTGATCATTCTCTACTCTCTGCCAAAGATCTCTATTGATTGGAGAAGTTGAATACGGAGGTATCCTATTGTTCCCAAGTTTGGGAACATTTCCTAAGATTCTAGTAAAAGAGATTCATACCAAATCTCTGAGCGTTTGTCCAGTGGCAAGTCACTTCTGTATTTTTCAACCTGCTGTTATAAGTTTTAAAATTATTGTTGTCCTAAAGCTAATTTAAAATATTTCATGTCTCTAGATTTCAGGATTGTGAGGAAAACCACTTTTCATAAATGGTTATCATCAGCACTGTGGAGGATCAGGCTTTGTTTTAAGCAGTCATTTTAGAAATACTGTTATGTGGTATTTCGAACTTCATTACTTGAAATGTTCTTCAGCAAACACCTGAGAATCATTTTAGGTGAGGCAACAGCAAACATAGACCTTGCTGATAGAATTAGCAGCAGCCTGAACTTTTGCTCTAACCTCAAACAAAATTTGGACTCAAAATCACTTAGCAGTCTGAAAAAACTTGGCGACATTTCTTTTTAAACCAATCTTCTCACTTTTCAGCTTCCTGGTTTCATTTGTGGAAGGGAATGGAAAGACCGAAATATTATAAGGAAGCTTGGTATTTCCAGCCCAGCCAAAACCACAAAGCTTTGGAAATTCAGCATGAAAAGAACCCTATAGCTGTGATTGAGCCTAGTCCTGCTTTCCTTCTGTGCTCCAAGCTTCCCATTAGCTGTACTAGCCACTTGAGGATACAGGGAATGCAAAACTGGAAGCCAGGTGTTGGGCAAACTCCAGACAGACATCCATACTTCTTATTTTAAAGACTCTTGCTCGTTTTCTACAATACTACCTGACTTGCTTAATTGTTAGCAAAGCAGATAACAGCCCTTGTTGTTCAAGCTCTGTTGGAAAGATGCTTTGTAGCATATGTATATCTAGACTTGTCTTTGCACTAATTTAAAAGGTAGTAAGTAGCATAAGAAATTACAACCGTAATAGTTAAGACAGCCACAGTGTGGTATTTCTAAACCTCCATTTCTTGGACAAATCACTTTGAAAGGAGACTGAAATTTCCAGAGGCATTCCTATAACTTTTGCACTTTCAATGTCTTCTCTAATTACTTTGGCATTTTCTGGTATTTATATAAGATGATTTTATAGTATTGAGACCCAAAAGAAAAGTGTAGCCTTTTGTTGGCATACAGCTAGTGTTACTCTTTAAGGTTTGCCAATAGGGATTTTCTACCATCTATTTAAATTGAAGCTACAAGACTTTTTTATATGTGTGCTTATATCCCTTGATTATATGAACTACTTTTTTTTTTTCTCTTTCCCCCCTTTCTGTTGCATGTGAGTGTTGTAAAACTCCTTCAGTACTGGAATGGAAAGTTCATTCAATTGCCTGCAGTCAAGTGAATAAAAACGTAAAATGTGGGTCTGAAACAGGGTTTAAAACTGCAGTAAACTCATGCTGTTGCAAAACCTGCTATCAGAATTTCCTTGTAAAGATGGACGTTTACTTAAACACAGAATACCCAATTTTTTAAAAAACTTCTAAAGATGCTGTTTATTGAGCTGTCAAAATATACACTAAATGTAGTTTGAAATTATTTTGAGTACTGGGGGACACATAGTACTGTGACAGTTTAGCATAAATCTATTAAAACTTTAATTATTTTTCTTAATTATCTCCAGCCCTTCTGCCCAAGATTGGGTTGCAGTGAGCTACTGGAGATGATGACTTTTGAGAGATGCAAAAGCCAAATCCTAACTGCTTGTCTTTAATGATCCTGTGTCACTTTGAGGAACTAACTCCTGACTAACTTCTAATTTGGAGTAAAGTGTGCATTAACAAATAGAGAGAGAGAAAGTGAGTAAAATTTGTAAGTCAGAACTTGAGCTGAGGAGAGAAAAAAGAGTGTAAGTCAGGAAAATGAGAGACGAACAATGCTGGATCAGATTAAATGCAGGCAGTAAGGCCATCCTGGTTTATATACATGTGGAAATGCAATCCAGAAATAAGGATTAAAAATATTGGGGTGGAGTAAAAGCTAATTCAAATAATTAAGAGAGCCTATTTTCTTTCTTTCCTTTTCTTTCTTTCTGCTTCTTTCTTTCTCTTTCTCCTTGTCCTTTCTTTTTCTTTCTCTCTCTGTATATAAAATATATTTTCTTATTCAATATATAAGACATTCATAGCTTGCCAGTAGAACCAAAGACATCTTGATCTCTCATCTTATTCATCTGTCTATGTGAGTCAATAAGTTAACTAGAATTTGTTTTGCGTAGTGCGAATTCAAAACACTCCAAGTTATTCCCACAGCCAGATATATACTTTGTTCCTGATCTGGTAAAGTATTTAGGATTGGGCTTATCCCGAAGACCATGATCAGTCCCATTGATACCAACTTATGTGGCAATTAGTTCCATGATTAGTATGGAAATGACATTATAGGGAAAACCCTATAGGCATTCGCAGGTTTTTATTCAGAATTTTCTTCTGTCATCCTCCTCACTGTTGTTTGCTTATCTCTATGTTGTTTCCTCTTCCTTGTTCTACAACTAGTCACCACCCAAGCTAAATGCTCAGTCCCACTGATTTCCAAAAATGGACGTAACACTTGCATCCTCGCGCTGTTCACTCAGCTCACGTGTTACCTCCTATTCTACTTTTCTGTGGCTGTCATATCAATTAGATTGTAGCTCTTTGAGATCACACTACCTACTAGTTTACATTCCATATTGCCTACCAAAATTGAAGTGTTCCCAACTGCTGGCCATGCAGTACCATAATAGACACTTTGTGAACACTCTTAATAGCCTTTACCTTTTTAGGGTTGAGTCTGTGCATCCAATATTGTAATAAGAAAGACTGAAGGGTACTCAGTGCATGACAGGATTGATCCTTACTTCATTGGTTATGCTACCATAAGACTAAATGAGAGGGGGAACCATGATCCACCAGTAGTTTAGGTTCCAGACGTCCAGATGTTTTAAAGGGAAGCCTAGTAGCGACCTGTAGCCTAAATACCTGTCTAAATTTGACCTTTGAGTCTTTCTTGCTTTGCACCCTCTACCTATCTTTTAGTCAGTGCAAAATGCCGTATTTGCAGAGTAATGGTTGGCCCAAGTGTGAGTAGATGCATCAGTTGAAGGAAAAGAGTTGGGCGTGCTCTTATTCTGACGTATGCTGAAGATAGAAGTATTGGAATCGTTCCAAAACAGTGCTGATTGTTAAGGTAGAAAGCACCAGAAAGCTCTTCTGTTAACTAAAGTATGTTGTTCCTTTCTCTGAATGTATGTAGATACCAAAATATCCAGCGAACTATTGCAACAGAGCGGACTGAAGACGATGCTGTAGTAAACAACAGGGTGGAGAGAGTTCCCACCGGAGGAGGAAGTGACTCTGAGGCAGAGCCTTCCCAGCCGAGCTCAGGTATGGGGAAAAAAAGGCTGAGTGGCATGTTCAGTGCTACTCACTGATTGCATTCATTTCTGGGGAAATCTGCATTTCCACAGGGGACTGGAACTTCATTATACCAGGGTGCAAAAGCTAATTAAAAGAAGAGAGATTTAGACTTGAAGCTACAGGTTTTAGACCTGAAACTGCAGGTACAAAGCTAGATACAAAGGGTCTCCGTTCTTTTTTTAACACCTACTAAGACAGACAAAGCGTTTTTACTTTAGTAAAGGGCTATTTGAAATTAAAATGGAAAAGGCATCTGGTTTTTATTCAGCTTAGTAGCTGCAAAAATGACGCTGTCTTATTTTTGCTGCAGTGTGATTTTGATCTTGGGGCATTGCAGTTTATTCTTTCTGGGCATGGCTTCTGTGCTGCCACATTTGCCCATGTGGTCACACCTGCAGTGGCCCTGGCATCGAGCATGAAATACTTGTGTTTTTAAAGCTGCAGTTTTGTGATAGCTATGAGCTGATCTAAGTGTGGGCTGCCACTGAAGGAGGCACAGCTGTCTTTTTGCTCATCACTAACTCATGTGACAGCACCCCAACCAGAGCAGAGAACTGATCTGTCTGAAAAATAACCTTGTTTCTTGTACTTAATGTTGTTCGCAGCCAGATTGGTTCTTTCATCTGGCTCATTAGATAACCAGACAAGAATGAGTGTCACTACAAAGGAGAAGAGGAGAATGTGTACCCAGGGCAGGATGGGATGGCAGGGAGCTGTTCTTCTCTTTTAGTAATAATCATAATTTTTATTTACTTAAAAAATTCCAAAACCAAAGCCCTAAGTGTTTGTTTTGGGTAAGAAACACCAGCAATCAGACTAGTGCCCACTACACAACTCGTGGACATGCAAAAATAACTATCTGCTTTGTTTGAGAAGAGAATATGTACCCAGGGCAGGATGGGATGGCAGGGAGCTGTTCTTCTCTTTTTGGTAGTAGTCATACTCATATTTTCTTAAAACATTTGTGAAACCATAGCCTAAGTGTTTGTTTTGGGTAAGAAACACCAGCAATCAGACTAGTGCCCACTACACAACTCGTGGACATGCAAAAATAACTATCTGCTTTGTTTGAGAACTTGCACCACCAAAATGAACAGCCAGTTCTCTTCCTTTGGATCATTCTCATCTCCACCTAATGTTGTGTTCTGTGTTGTCTGCTGGAAGTAAATCTGACTTCTTGCCATCCTGTTGCCATCCCTCTGTAAATAGCACTGGCAAAGGGGAAGAACCAACACAACGTCTGCTTGGATTTTCTTAATGTTCCATGTTGAATAGGAAGAATTACACAGAGAAATAGTGGACTTACTTTTTTCTTAATAAGTTTAGAAAAATATTCGATTTTGCCTGTTTGTTTTCCTGATCCATTAGGTCTTTTTAGCTTGAAAATCAATTTTGACCAAGAATGTTTGATATTCAAGGGTCCTTTGCAATCCTTTGTATCGCAATTTATGGGAGCCTTTTACCTACACTGGATATTATAGGGAGAACGCAGTCCTCTCTGTTAGCAGCTGAAATGGAAATGAGGTACACATTGTATTATTAGTATTTAAATTGTAAGTAATGTAGTCGTTACTGGTAATATGTATAATCATTTTGTATCATAGCCTATGTAATAAAATAGTAATTGAATAGGAATTGCTACCAGTAAATATTTAGGTCAGTTTATTATGTAACATTCACTTTTTTTCTTTTAACCCCGAAGAGCTGATGAGTATAATATGTGTCATCTTAAGTGATTAGGAAATGGTTTCTGCTATAGATCATTGCTTTGCTTTTTGGAGAAAAAGTCAATATTGTATAAAATGCCAAGAATTAAAAAATCAAAGGTGATGCAAACCACACTAGAAAAAGAGAAAGCTGCAGTATGATACATTTGCTATTTGCCTTTTAATTTAAATGAAAAATGTTAGAAGGAATACAATTTAGGCACATTAATCCAGATTCTAAGCCAATATAAATCAATTTAGCTCCAGCAGTGGATCCAGTCTGCAGTTTTAAGTGGAGAGAATAATACGATGTGTCTAGCAGGAAGAAAAAAAAAGTGATAGTTGATAAGAAAAAAGTGGGTAGCTATATTTATTCTGTTGATGACGTCTGCATCCAATTTCCTTGGACTGCAAATAAAAGTTGGCTTGTATTTGAAAACGCCAGAACTGCACACTCAAACCATAATTCCATGGTAGGAAGCGCTTTTCTGGTGGCTGTAGAAGGTCAAGGAGGTTCCCACCTCTACAAAGTTTACATTCTCAAATGCTCGGTTCTGCTCCTGTGCTTCATGAATTGATACAGATTAAAAATAATCCCTTTGTGTCTGTTTGTGTTTTCTTTACCGTACAAGTCCCCAAAACCACGGGCTTGCCAAAAATAATGCAATTACAAGTAAAGGGCAATGCTTTGCAGCACCAACATGGATGTGAGTGGCCAAGCAGGGGGCTTTCTTAACCCAGTCTTGCTACCAAATGCTTTGTGCTGGTGAACCCCTTGGGCTGGATTGGGAAATCAGATCCCTCTAAAATCAGCAGCGGGGGGAACCAGTCAGGACCTGGGTGATGGTATTGAACCAAACCATCAGCTGGTAAAAACTGTTGTGGTCACATTGATATGTAGAGACAGCAGCAGGTAACGACACAGAGTTTTATAACATACAGTACAGAAAAGCATCCAGCTCCTGCCCTGCTACTCTAAGCAATGCACCACTAACCATAAGGAGAACATCTACTGGTTTGCCAGCAGGCTTGTCTTGGAAACGCAAAGGTAGGTGCGTTGGGCAGGATGGTGACTTTTTTATACCATCACTTTTGCAGCCGTTCATTAAAGGTTAAATAATAGGCTGCGCTTGCCGCTGCGTTAATAAGATTTTGCTGCTTTTTTTTTGTCCAGAGATTAGGAGGGAAGGTTCCCTTTCTCCTGTGAATTCTCAAAAAATCACCTTGTTGCTGCAGTCTCCAGCTGTGAAGTTCATCACCAATCCTGAGTTCTTCACTGTGCTGCATGCAAACTATGTGAGTAATGATGATTTGTGCTCTCACACTACTGATTTCTGAATCCAAATGCTGTGCCCCAGGCCTTAGGGGAGAACGCATAGTGAATGTGAATTGCGTGACTCGGGGCTCAGTTGTCCTTTCTGAGCACCAGACCAGGTTGGGGACAGTACAGGCAAGCTGCTCCAAGGAGGCTCTTGCTGGGATTCTGCCTCACACAAGGAATTCCCTGGTACAGAGAAGCTCATTAATGTTACCCTTCCAGAATAAGCAGGAACCCTTGGTTTCGGCTTGGTTGATTCTGTTGTCTGTTGCTGCAGAGAACGAGGTTGTTGCCTTTCAAGCCATGTTCCTGAGAAATCTTACTCAGATACCACCAAGTCTCAGGGAAACAGAGGGGAAAAAATTATTAACTCATGCAATTTGCACTCCCAAGAAGCAGGTGGGCATAATGCAGTGAAAGAAATACTGACTTGAGTCAGTGTAGCTATTTTGGAAAAAAAAAAGAATGAAAACAAATTTTCAAAATTCAAATAACTTTTTTTTTTTCATTAATGCAATAAATCTGCATGTTTTCTTGAAAATATGGTGTGGAGTGGAAAAAATGTAACAATAGGTCAACCAGGAGGAAGCAGATAGGGAAATCTCACAGGGAGATGCAGTCCTAGTTTTCCGTATCTTGAATGTAGTTCCGCTAGGCATCTACACATCACTTCTGAATATTTGGAAAGTCATCCATTTCTGGGTAGGGATAACCTTTCTTTTTGAAAGGAAAAGAAATTAAAACACTTCAGGAATTGCCTCAGCACAGGTCTTTAGCTAACTCCAGACATCAAGCTTTGGCTGTGGTGCTTTGTAGGTTGAAGCCAGCTGTCCATCTCCAAGCATCTGCCAGAGATTATTGCCCATGAAATCCTGCAGCGGAAGAGATATATTAACTCATCTGACATTACCTGAACTAGGCTATGGAGTGCATGTAATTTCTTCCATTGACAGGGTGATATATGATGATTTATAGCTGGGAGCAATATTCTTTTCATTCGGCATAGCTGTTTGCAAAATGAGCAACTGATTGCATAGTGGTGTAAGGAACAGCTCACGAGACTGAATCCCAATTTTATTTCTTACTGAAATAAAAAAAGCCAAGAGAGGCCTTCAGTTTGAGCTTATAAAGTTGTCTCTAATATGAGAGCCAGAATAATCTATTGAAACATCTGTCAAATGGTCATACAGAATCCATTTGTACAGAAATAATGGCCCACATAACTTTTGGCTTAACACAGGTGTAATATTTTAGCCACAAGCCCCTATTAAAATTTCAAGCTATTAATTATGCCAATGAAGTTTGGGATTGGAAAATATTATCTAGCAGTTAGAATTAAAAAGAGAAGGCTCTCATTTTTCAGATATTTTATTCCCATGGAGGGATAAAACTAGAATATATTTTTTTGTTTCCCTAGTGCAGCTAAGAGATGCTCAGAATACAACTTCTGTGATGGAGTAGGCTGGGATCTTAGCAATTTGTGACCACGAAGATTTCCTGGGTTATAACCAGGTCACATCTTCCGGGCAGAGATCATATCTCTGTGATTTTGTAACATTTACCAGCCCTCGCCATAATTAGGGACCCTGTGCTGCAGGGAGTATTCTCTTCTCAGCACTACCACCGCGATAAATCCTTACATAATAAAGATAATACTTGTAAATGTTTTATTGCATTGTAGTGGTTAAAATGCATGAAAAGTACACTGAAATTAAGAATTCAAAGCTGTTGGGTCAGATTTTCTGGACAGATTACAGGTGTGCACACTGGGGCTCACTTCACTGGAGACACGAGGCCTCCAGTGATCCTTTATTACTCTAGTGAGTAATTAAATTGCTTGGGCTGACCGGCAGAACCAATGCACTCACTTTCTCTCTAGTGAAATGCTCAGAAGGGTTGCAGATTTTCGTAAAGTTTCCTACCCTGTCTACAGGAGCTTTTTCCCTGAAGTAAAAGGTCTCAAGAGTAGCCTGTGGATGAGAAAATGTTGTCGCCACAAGTCTATTTTGTGGTGCTCTATCATTGAATACACTGTGGCAACAAATATAGTTCACTTTGGCCCCTGTTCTGGAACCAGACCAGCACTAACTCACTCAGAACTGCATCAGGGCATGTTCCTCTAAGAGGTGTATTTAATGCCCGTTGTGAGATACAACTAGCTGCCTGAGGGGTGGAGTTCATCAGACTCACGAAAACGTCTCCATCTGACATGCTTTGTAGTCATTGCAGAAACAAATATTCAGTTCCAGGAAATGATTCATATTTTCCAAAAATAGACAATTGAAAGTGTCTGTTTCTGTCCAGTGGCTCTAAAGTGACCATAAATAAGGTAGCAAGCTTAGATGTAGACGTGTTGTTTTGGCATCAGAACTGGTTTTCCTCTCTTCTGTTTTCCATCTCATAGAGTGCCTATCGAGTCTTCACTAACAGTACCTGCTTGAAGCATATGATTCTGAAGATCCGTAGAGATGCTCGTAATTTTGAGCGCTATCAGCACAACAGAGACCTGGTAAATTTTATCAACATGTTTGCTGATACCCGACTGGAGCTTCCTCGTGGCTGGGAGATAAAAACTGACCAGCAGGGCAAGGTAAGAGTGCCAACAAAATTAATCACTTGCTTAACACAGCACATCAGGCTACATGATTACTAAAGGTTCCTTCCTTCCTGACTCAAAATCGGTGAAGGTTTGGTTTAAACAATACAAGCAGCAAGCAGAGTTATTTTAGAAGCAGAAAAAAACTTCAGGAACAAATGTTTCGAAGCATAGTGGTGACCCTCTAGCTTTCTGTGGAATATCACACCATAGCCAAGGCAGCATTGGACTAACAAAAAAGTTTAAGCCAGAGTTTAGATCTGTCATGACTGCAAAATTTGGCTTAGTGTCTCTGCCTCCAGTGAAGCTTTGCTGAGTGACTTCTGGAACCACCAAATAGGCTAAAGCAGTTTTCCCTAGTAATTTTATTCTCTTCTGTCTTGTTTACTTCATGGCCATTACACATGATTTTGACCTATGTAGCTTCAGGTATTTTCCAGGAGCTATTCTAGCTTCAACTAAGAAAGTCCTGTTGTTTGCAGATATCTTCCATGGACTGTACCCAAACAGGGTATTTCTGACACACAATTGCCAGTGGTTTTCACTTTATGATCCCACAATGCCATCACAGTGTTGGCAGTCTTCTTACAAAAAAAATGTTGTTCCTGTGTGTTTCAGTCTTTCTTCGTTGACCACAATAGCCGTGCTACCACTTTCATAGATCCCAGGATCCCGCTGCAGAATGGTCGTCTCCCTAATCACCTGACTCACAGGCAACATCTTCAGCGACTTCGTAGCTACAGTGCTGGAGAGGTAACGGTGCTAGTATCAATACAGTTACTTTTGACAGCAATCTTGTGTAGAATTCAAAGCACTTCTTATCTTTGAAATGCATTTAAACAGACTGTCTTGTGGATTTTTATCTTCCAAAGGAAATAAGGGATTTTTTTCTTTCTGAAGGGTTTATCTCGGAGCTTGCAGGTAATGAAGGTTTATATTTTGACCGTTTTCAGAATAAAATAATAAACAAGTAAAACTAAATAACCAAAGTGAAGTGATGACAAAACAGATTTTAAAAGAAGAGTCCATATTTGACATCCTAGTCTTGCTTTAGTAAAGTCCAGTCATTCATTATTTTTATAGCCTGATACTTCAGCAGCCTCATATGTTTCTTCATTCCCCACTGTGATGCTGTGCTCTGAAAATATATACTCCCTAGCAGTAGCATAGTATTGTATGTTGAGGTTTGCTTCCCTAGCTTTCAATCACACTAAACATCTTTCCTGTGTTTCATGGGGATGATTTTTATTACTGAGGGCCATGGGCAGGGTTGATAGAAGCATAAATAATGGGTTTGTATTGTGGATTTAAGGAGGAAAAAGCAATCAGATTCTTCATGTAGCAAATCCATACAGTTTAAGATTTGTAAAGATTGAAGCTGAATAGGCGTAGAGGTGAATTATGGCCAAAGGATCTTCCTCTTCTAGAAAAAACATCCAGAGAAATGCTTGTGAAATTAACATTAAAATTTATTGCAGCAGGACCAGTCTGAACACCTCCCACTGCCAAATGGGGTTGGGATCAGGAGCTGACTAGGGTGTGAGGTCAGTACTTCGGGACCAAAGGCAGACCAGGCATGAGTAGCTTGGGTAGGTTTTCCCCATCTTCGGTGAATACGGCAACATATTTTATGAAGATAGAAGTGTATCAATGGATCTGTTTCAATCATATCTTCCCACTAACTTAGCAGATGATTCATATTTGGGCCCATGCTTGCCTGGGGCTTGCTTACAAATTCACTGTGTCAGGGACAGAAACACCACTGAGCAACTCAGATGACATAGCCCAAAAAATACACTTGGTTTTGCAAGTGCTGGCAAGGGTGGCAAAGAACAATTTGCAATAAACCCAAAAAATCAAGTACAGGGAAGGGAGCGAAAAGCATTGAATACTTTTGAGTAATGATTCTCTGGGGAAACTGTAAACTGTTCATTGAGGCCACTGATTCAGCATGATCAGCCAACGAAACGGGACCTTCTGTCTCGGGAGCCATCAGTGCTGGCACCTTCATCTCACAGTCTTGGTGGCCCGGGTCCCACAATGCTTCTGCACCCTTGTCATAGTCAGTAGCTTTCCCTCTGGAAGTATCTGCTTCTCCACTGGAAGGACTCCCATTGATTTCAAGGACTTTGGATCGGTGCCTAAAAGCCCACCATTTACAAGGAAAAGATTCAACCCTTTGCAACTCAGCCCATTTATTAAGAGCAGCATGTTCCATGCCATTTCTTCCAAGTATATTTGGATGTGCTTTTGTCCTATAAATCATATCTGTAGGGACACACTTGGGGCTTTGTCCTGGCCATGTGTCAGCTGTCTGCAGTCCAGCTGGTTTCTTTGCTGAGCAGGTGGTGCGGCCTCTGGAATCTGTCACCAGGACGGCATGAAGGACCAAGGAAGACAACCACCAGTTTTGAACATTATGTACAGGTGTCAAACAAGCCTGAAGGAGAGCAGAACAGTGTAGCTTCAGTCGTGATTGCTTGTGGGTGCCAGAGAGGGTATAGAAAAGAGCCAGGGTAATGAGAGGAAAAACTCTACCCCTGCCTCAGCGCACATACCTGACATCCTGCCCAAGTGCCAAAACAAGTTGCCAGAGTGTGTCATGTGGACTTCCCAGGGACTTTGTGACACTGAGTGATCAGTTGAGGAAAGAGCAGACAAAAATCATAGGCAGATGAGCCCGAAGTGGGAAAAAAGAAATACCCCAGCTTCACACACTCAGCAATGGCTCTTAGCTGAGTCACCATAAAGAAATGATTATGGTTCTAAGAAATTGTGATCTCAGTACTCAACAGCAGACAAAAAAGCAAATGTAATGTCTGGAATTCTTAGAAAAATAATAGAAAGATCTGTTCAATCTAGGCATTACAAGAACTAAGTTTTGCTAGTAAAAGCCAAACCAATTTAATCAAAATAAGGCAGGGTGGAAATTCAGTGAGAATAGTTAACCATAGGAACTAATGATTTGGCATTGGGTCTCCATTTCTTCATACTTTCAGGCCAAAACATAGTGTAAAAGCCAGTTTTGTCTTAGTCACCAACAAGTTTCCGAGCTCCCTGGCCTGGGGCAGTGCAGTGAATAGGCTGTGGCGTTGAAGTAAAAATGGTGATCTCCTGCCCTCCCTTCCATAACATCCATGAATCTTCTAAATCCTTTTGGCTCATCAAAATGTGGCCTTTATTCCTGCCTTACAATCTGTGGTGTTGAACAAAATACCTTGGAAAACTAATAAAGAATTGATTTTAGTATTTCAAATGAACTTTTGAAACTCCCTAATGAAATTGGAACATAAAAATATGCTTTCTCAAATATGACAGTTTGCTTTATGACATTTAAAATTCATTCTCAGTAGAGAATAGAAATAGCAATTGCACAGCTTCTATAGAAGGCTGGCTGTTCCTTCCAAGTTCTTTTGCTCAAGGCCTACCCCAACTATTAACAGGCCAAGCGGAGATTAAAACTGCCCTTTTTCCCTTAATCTCTATATGGTGGGCTGTGTTTTTAAAAAAAATTATCTGTGCGTATAATAGTATTCCATTTCCCTCTTCCAAGAAAGAAAGCATCCATTTCACAAATTAATCTGTAATATTTATGCTTTTCTTCATGTTGAAGTAGTCTCCTAAATGAAGGACCTCTGTAAAAACTTTTAATGTCCACCTGAGTAGATTCTTGATATTAAAGGGTATTATATATAAATTTGACAAAAATGCTACAGATTCTTTAGTAAGCACTTCTTTAAGGGTATCAATCTTTTACAGGAAAAAGGTGGTTGATGCTACTCTTGGTTACCTGATTTTTGAAAGAAAAGTTTAGGTAGCTGTACTGGCCATCAGTAACTAAAAGAACAGAGGTCACTACGTGCTCCATTTCCTTCTGCCACTGCTATAAACAGAACAGGTCAGAAGCACTTTCCATTCCCTCTAAGGGACTTTCCGTCTGCAAGGGAAATCAGCATGTATGATTACAGGGTAGAGATTTTAAAGACAAAAAGAAGAAATAAGCAGACATCCATGATGGAGAGGCAGGAGTTTCTGGTTAGCAAGAAAAGCAGAGGAGGTACTGGAATATAGCCATATATAAATCCTCCTCACTGACCCAAACCACAACAAGCGAGTAGCAGGATTCAAACAGGCAGGAGCATCTCAAATCCAGCAGTGATATAAAACCCAGGAAAAGGGTATTGTATCATCGAGAGGCTCCTGCGATAGTTTGGACTCTCCACTCTGGTTGCAACGTCCCAGTATCAATTGCAAAGCTGTTAAACCCTGCTATAAATCTCTCAGATTACCCTGCACTAGATGAACCAGGTCACTAAATAATTAGAGGGGTCACTCTTTTTTTTTTTTTTTAATTAGAGAATAATGTGCTAATCTAAATTAAATGATTCAATTAGAAAGTCAAAGTAGACAAGGCAATTGTGATTAAACACTGTACTGGAGCAACCAATTGTGTTATATTAGCAAAAAGATTGGAAAGAGGAGTGTTAGCAAAATGGAAGTTAATTAGACAGCTGGGAATTTTCCTGTTGTGTTGCCAGAGAAAAATTGTTTAGAGGTGTAAATGTGTACAGACCATGATCCAAACACAGCATTAGCGATGCCTAATGATGGTGATGAAGAGAAGTGCAGCACCACGGAGTGTGCAATTTATTATGTTAAGGTGCGTACAGAACTGGATTCTTACAATCTAGATGATTTTAGCTGTTAAACCAGAATTGGGAAGAAGGGAAGGGGGGAGTGAAGGTTTCTCTTTGCGGGCTCTAGACACATTTCCTTTCAGAATTCTTGCTTCAGGAGAAGTATGTTCAGGCACACAACTCGGCAGCACTGGAAGGCTAGCCAAAAGAAAACAAAAAACAAAAATCAGGTGACATGAGCAAGGGGAGGATCCAGCCCCAGGCTGGGCAGAAGTACCATGCAGTTCCCAAGTGACAAGCAAATACCAACTGGTGCTAATTTTTGTGGGAGATGGGTGTTTAACTCCTCTGTTACTCCTCCCTTTCCCCCTTCCTATCTTCTGGTCAGTAAATCTATGTGTAGCAACAAGGGCATAGGATTTGTCTTTGTCAACGATGAGTCAGAGACCACCCTTAAAAACAGGCTCACCCACCATCCGCACTCCCATACAAGTCTGTTCTACAAGGAGCTGGGGAAGAGGCATCCTCACCTGATCTCCAGAGCTCCCTGGAAGTGGAGAAGCTCAGCACAGCACAATGCCTTAGCACCGTCCCACACGTCCTCGCTAATACAACCGATCACAGGCCGCTGTGTGACCTTGACTATGCTACCCACAGACAGCCCAAGAAACGGCTGTTCCCAGAAGGGCTTCGTGCCCGCTGTGGCAACGGGTTATAGGGCACCTCTTGCACCTAAGCTTCCTCCTTCTTCCATAGCACAGAGTGAATGCCATAAAGGCCGCATGGTGCCTGTCAGGGTGGATGCCTGGGTCACAGGGGGGAAAGCTGCCTAAGCCTGAGCTAAACTTGCAGTGTCAGTTGGCCCACGGGGGTGTGAGGAGGAGACAAAGGCGGAAGATTTGGCACAGCACAGAGGGACTTAGTGAATTGTGTATGACCTGCTTGAAAGTTCTTCCTGCCTTTAAAAGTAAGAAGTGTTGTTAGCTAGCACATCAGTCCATTAAATACTGCAGGCTTGACTGTTCTTCCTGACACTGGGGTAACTCTCAGCAGATGCATACCAGTATAAAATGGGTGCAAGTGAAATCATAATTGAATGATGGAGCGAACCATTCACCACGCACTTTCACAGCAGTTTTGTGTTTTCGATTACAGTGTGTTTAATTAGAATCATTAAGATTTTTCATTGTTTAACCTGTGTATTGACACATACCAAGTGCATTGACTGGTATCTTGTTACATATAAACATTTTATGCTTTATGTGCTCCAAAGGCAACTTGCCAGTCACATTTAGCTTCTCGGTTTTCATTTATATCCAGTTGGAAGTCCTGGCATTTGGCCGTACCACTGAAAATGGGTTGGCACCATTTGCTTGGATGCAGAGCTAAGCATTTAAAATATTGGAGTAGGGGCGATTTCTTCCTGAAGTGGTTGCCAAGTACTACAATTTGTGCAGTGAGAAAGGAGCAGCTATTAGCCCAGTAAAATGGCAATTGGAATTCCTAATGCATCTTGTCCCGATACAGGGTGTCCTCACACTGATTTTGTAGCAGTGCTCCTCTGTTGGCTTCACCGTGGCCATATTCTGGAGGAACACATATGAGAGAGAGGTGGGTTCCCCTCAGCTTGCGCAAGTCCCCAAAGAGTTACCCAGCAAGTAATGACTTAGTGAAGACAGATTACCAGACCTCATTGTATGGCTTTTAATATCCTCATACCTAAGTGTTTTCCCACCTTTTAATGTATCTGCCTTCCTGACATGATTCCCTTCACTAGATACCGTGTTTAGGACAGTGGCATTCTTTACGTGCCTCAGTTAAGTAGTAGTGATAAATTTCCTTCTTACTACTATTTTTATCAGCTCTTTGGATTATGTTCTTCTTTCAATGTATACGATTCAACTTCTATTTCTGGTTATGCAAGTTAGGCAACCCCCTTTTGCGATGATATAGACCTTTTCTGTCCTGTGATCTACATAGATATACCTTCCTCATGTTATTTCCAATATTAAATTTCCCTTCAACAATGCTGAGTGAACATGTTGCAGTGTTGTGGGGTTTTTTCTTATTTTCAAATTAACATTGCTGTAAAAACCTTGGAAGTAAATGCGGTTACGCTAGAACAAGAAACTGTATGATATTATAGAGATTTTATTTTCATTGAACCAGAGAACTCCATAACTGCAGTACCTTTATTAACTTGCATTTGCTTCTGGATTCTGGTGCCTTCACTGCAGCTTCAAAGTGGTGTGATAGCTATGGATAATGGTGTCCCTCCACTTGGAAGCACAGAATTACCTGCTTTTTTTAAGTTGGCTGAAGTATAAAGCTATAATTTTCCTGCAGGCTTTCTGTCCTTCAGTCAGTCAGCATCATGGACCATTCTGAAGGTCACAGAAGTAAAGATGAGAAACCTTTTTACTGACTGATGTGCTACAGTGGTCAGTTTTGATCATTCCTTCCCTTTCTCTGATGTTGTAGGCCTCCGAAGTCTCTCGAAACAGAGGAGTTACTCTGTTGGCCAGACCAGGCAATAGTCTCGTAACAGCTATTCGAAACCAGCACCATCATGAGACATTACCTCTGGGTAAGCCAAGTTTCTCTCTTCTTTTCAAAGCCGTTCTCACAAAAATGCTTTTTAGAACTTCTCATCAACCACGTGCACTGCTTCATGTTGCCCTGTGTCTCGCTAGCAGTGCAGTCAGTCACGGTGACGTGACCAGGCACCCTCAATGGTAAATAAAAGCCTCTATTTTTTTTTTTCTCCTTTTCCAGCTTACAATGACAAGATTGTTGCATTTCTACGCCAACCCAACATTTTTGAGATGCTGCAGGAGCGTCAGCCCAGCTTGGCCAGAAACCATGCACTCAGGTACCACTTTATTCCAGACTGCTGAAACCAAGGTCCAGGAAGGACGACTTGTAGTGGGGAAAAACAAATTCTAGTAACTGTAGTACAAAAGATGAACTTGGGCCCCATATGGAACTGTCACCATTAAAGAGTAGGTGTGGACCACCAGAATTGATGTAGTTACTATAGTTATCTTCCACAGACACCCAAGAGGTAAGAAGAGCCAAAATAACTATGGGCAAATAGTGACATACCTAATTTCCATTCTAAGTGTTACTGAATAGCAGAAACTCTGTCTTCACCTACAATTATCACTTTGCTTTTCAGAAGATAGGGTTAAAATTGTGTTTGGATGGAAGTCAGCAGCAAAGCCCCAGTAACTTCAGCAGAACCAGTATCTTACCTCATGGTTGGATTTACACCCATGCCATGGACATAGTCACCCTAGATGTTATAAAGAAATAGGAACATTATGCAGCAGATTGTACTCCTGTCTTGAATCTTTCTCACTTATGACTTAATGGCAGCCCTTTCCAAAGTAATTAAATCGAATCTTTCTTTTTCTTATGCTCATTCCTTTCCTACTAGGTTTAAAAAAAAAAAAGAAAAAACAGAACCAAAAGCTAGTACAATTTAAACTCATTCTAACTCCAAAGGTTGAATTAATTATTTTGGCCAAGAACCTAAGCTGGCGTTAGTCAGTCTCAGCAATGCCAGTGTGCACCAGCTAAGAGTTTGACCAAGAATTTAGTTTGTACTGTGCCGTAAAAAGTGCGGCTGCAGGTCTGGCGAAGGAGGGAAGGACCTTCAAGTTCCTGCAGTGCAGTTTCTGTTGATAGCCTTACTGACTCGTCGTTTACCTGTGAGGGCCAGACAAAGAGTTCTTTCGGTGTAAGGATTAGACTTCCTTCCTGGAGCAATTAATACATTCAAATAAAACGAAGGAGACAGGATGAAAAATGTTCCCAGTGTTCAAGATGTACATTTCTGTAACTGAGAATTTTTTTTATCTTCACCATCAAATTATTCCAGACTATTTTTTCTTCCTCGGCTGTAATTTGAATTCTCATTTCTCAGAGAACAGATGACGCTTTTATCTCCTTTTGAGCAGAGAACAAAATTGACTGGTGATAGGGACTAGACAGCTTAGCCAGTGCGTAATGAGATTTGTAACAGGATATTGAGCCCTTCGCCTCCAGGTCATTGCTTTGATTATACCTTAGGTCAGGAGTGATCCCAAGCTACCGTCTAATGCTCATACAGCAGGTATTAAGCAAACACCTAGGAGACAAACATCCGTCTTCTACAGGGCTTGATTCTGCAATACGTTGCAGCCCCACCCAGCAAGGTACTAAAGCACATCCTTGACTTGAGGTAGAATCCTTTGACTTGATACTAGAATAAATGTTCTTGGACGCTGCAATGCTTTAGAAACACACTGACAGATAGGGGTGTAGATGTGTATCTTCCATGGTCCTAATCTGCTGATAGGATCCTATCCTATGTTTCCCACTCCTTATTAGCATTCATTTAAACAACAAAATGTATGATTTTACACATGTACTGTATAACCTCTCTGTGATCAATTAATATCAAGTATATGTTAGAGTGTTATTTGCCAGATAGAACTGATAGAGTTGAAGGAAGTGGTATTATGTGAAATTCTGTTAATGGAAGGTGGTATATTAGTTGTAGCCTTAAACAAAAAAATCTGTCAGTGACCTTAGCTGTAGCGCTACACGTGAGCTTGGAGGATTAAGAATCATTCTGTTTTCTAAAATATGGTATAAAATCTCTTGCTTTTGGATCAGGAAACTGAGTGATATACATAGATTCTCTTTTGCAAGTTTGTTAGTGAGATTAGAAAATTAATCGGGCAGTTATGATGTTTGCCATTTTTGTAAGGAGAGAAACAGGAATTGGCAAAATACCAAGGAATAACAACTCTATGCATAGTTCATGCCTTGATAATGGCATGTTTTCGTCTTTTTTTTTTTTCTTTTTTCTCTTCTCAATAATATCATTTATGTTTCAGGGAGAAGATCCATTATATTCGGACAGAGGGTACACATGGGCTTGAAAAGTTGTCCTGTGATGCAGATTTAGTAATTCTGCTGAGGTAATCAATTTGATCAAAAGGATAATGTCATTACTTATGGTACCAGAGAAGCTGGCTGGCTTTTCCTCAGCATAATTGAAAAGATTTTGTTAAATCTTCCAGGTCATTTGTAATTAGAATAGGATTCATTGTTACTGATAGTCACCCAAAATAATTCAGCCAGAGTATATCTGTCAACTTACTTCCTGGAAGGCAGCCTCCATCAGTGCAGTGAACTCCATCCCCAGCCAGCTCGATCAATATAGCTGTTACCATCAAGTAGCAGATAAAAAAGAAGCAGGTCAAAATGTTTCCTTTTAATGGAAAAATTCTTTCCCCCCCCCCCTTTTTTTTTTTAATTAAATTAAAAAAAAAAAAAAACTTGTCTTTCTCAGTACAAGTAAATAATGTAACTGCTCATTAAATTGCTAGTTTTACTGCAGCAGTGCTCCCCACACACGCAGGGCCATGTCACACTAGTGAAACCTCGATGTACAGTGCAGTGAGCATTTTTTGGGTAACGTAGATAAGGCTTTTAATTTTTACTGGGATTAGGGAGCTTGGTCTTTAGGTCCCTAGCTACTTTTGTTTAGCACAGATAAGGACTGACTTTATTGTCTTGGTCTTACATGGAAAATATTGCATTACCCAGGTGGTTTTGGTATGCTATATAGCACTGCCTAATGCAAGAAGTTTACAACTTACTCCCATCAACTTAATCCAAATGGTCAAAGGGCTGAGCTGTATGAAAACGTATGACCCAAGAAAAACAACCTGGGAGATAGATGTATCTTTGCTTCTCGCTTCTAAGGTGTTGAAGTTGTCCCTGTTTACTACATAGCCTCAGATCTTTACACTCTATTAGTAGATTGAGGCACTGTGTTAGCATGAAATGTCTAATAAAATTCATTTTGTTCTTCTTTGTTACTGGTGACCGTGCCTGATTTGGGAAACTTGTGGATTTTATGAATCCATGAGTTCAGAGCTGTACCCAATCTTAGGACTACAGCAGACTTGCACCATACTGCATATTTACATTCCTTCATGTGACGAATGTTGAACCAAACCTCTCCCTATCGCTTTTTCCATGCAGCCTTTTTGAAGAGGATATTATGTCCTACATACCACTGCAGGCTGCCTTCCATCCTGGTTACAGTTTCTCTCCTCGCTGCTCACCCTGTTCATCACCCCAAAATTCTCCAGGTAAGGGGATGGGGAAAACAATACAAAATCTTGCATTTATGGTACTTCTCCTAATAAATACAAAGGGGCAGATTCAGAGCCAGCATCAGTTGTCAGCCTGCTAATTCTAGTGCCCACTCCGAATCTGACCCCAGCTGCTTTTTTGCTGGTTCGGTTGCCATTGCTGTTATGTATCTGTTGAAATGTTAACCGTAAATGAAGCACAGAGATCAGAAATTGCCCATATGGAAGAAGGTATTTTCCTGCTTTTTATATAGTTGGAAAGGATTAGAATAAGAGAATGGTGCACTCCAAACATAACTCATTGACATGGAAGCACATTCATGTTATGTGACAGGAGCAAAGAGCAGCTTCCAAGTCAAAGGTGTGTTGCAATACTTCCAGTACTCCTGTAAAGTTCAGTCTCTTCCACTTGGTGTTCCAAAGACTTCTCTTCTTCCTAAGAGTCATCTATTTTAAGACCTGAGGGGATCATCTTGATCATCTAGTCTGACCTCCTGCGTTGAGCCCATTAACTTAGGTTTGACGGGAAACATATTTTCCAGAAAGACATGCTGTCTGAGAAGGTTATTTCCAGCTGTGGTATGTCTCTGTAGTTATTGTTTATGCTATAGAAATTTGAGGAGCTAATGTCTCCCTTTTGCCAAGATACACAACCCCCACCACAGTCTCACTTACATGGCTGTGTCCAGTGGCCATTTTGAGAGAATCGACAGAAATGCGATCTGAAGAAATCCATTTTTGGCTGAGCTTTTTAAACATTCATTTAAATTATCTGGTTTCAGACAGAGTTAATGGACAAGAGACATTCAAATCTCGGAGGTGGCTGTGAAAAATTGGAAGGTTTTTTGATGTGAAGAAGTTAAATGCTGAACCCTTGTCTATAGGAGGACAGTGTTTTGTCAGAATGTCCTGTTTTCATTAATGAGTTCTAACACCATTGTCAATAATCCCCTCCTCTACCATCAGCACAGGTCATAAACAAGTCTCCTGCAAGACAAAAATCTAAGTATTTGGTGACAGCGTGACTTAGGAGAATGTTAAAAGAACTGCACTGGTTTTTACCTGTTCTTGTGAAAACACAAGAAGGGCAAATACTCATTTCTGGCAACATACTGTCTGCTTGCTTATTTCTGCCACTGGTTACATAGCCCATGAGAACACACGTTCTCTTATGTCCTGGGGGAAAAAAGTCTAACAGAAGAAAATAAGTGTCACAAGAGATTCTCTTTGCACTGCATGTAAATATGCCTCTCTGTTTTACCAGCAGAGGCAATTAGTAATGTCCTTCCCTCCTGGCAACAACGATACTTTGTGCTCCCACTAAATATGATTTTTTTAAAATATGTTTTTTGCCTTCCCGTGGAGGATTTTCTGCCATATTTCTCATAAAAGGGCTTGTTTTTATTGTCTTCTGTAATGAGATAGGGAAATGGGATTTCATGGATCCATTCTTTGACCCTTTACAGCATGGTGCTTGTTTATACAAAAGGACTAATCAGCTACTTTGAGAATGCAGACTTCAAAACAAAGCAGGTCCCAAATTGCTAAAAATCCGCTGTATGTGTGAATCATAATAGGAAAATGTAGCATTTCTTGCTGACAGAAATCCTTCTTGATGCCACAAAGGGGTTTTGTGTTGATAGCTGGAAGTGTTTAATATACAGTCAGATTAACACAGAGAAACCCGATTCCCAGCTTGGCTAGGGTGCTAGGCTCCAGTGAGAAGCGTTGCTTTGAGCTCCAGAGGTTTAATCCTGCCAAGTAAGGAGATCTCCTATACGGTGCAGAGGAGAGAGATCTCTTAAAAATGCAAAAGGGAAAGAAAACTAAAATACCAATGACCGTGAGTGGGAGTTATGCATGTCAGTCTTTCTCATGCCTTTCTGATCCGTGAATTTCCGTTCAGATCAATTGCAGTTAAAGGCCGAGGCAACACAAAGGCACACACAAGGCGAGCTTAATGGTTCTTTTAGTGAAGAAGATATAGCCCCTGGAAGTTGTTGCAATCACTGAATTATAGGAACTTACAACTCCATTAATGCCAGGTAGAACAAAAATAATACTGAGTGCACTGTATACCTGTAAGAAGTTCCTAACGCATTCGTTAGCCAGTTCTGTCTGGAAACATCAGCTGCATGATTTGGAAAAAATTTAAAGCCCCTTACACTTTAGGATGCTGTTTATGTTCCCGCCAGGACTGCAGCGAGCAAGTGCAAGAGCACCTTCTCCATACAGGAGGGACTTCGAAGCCAAGCTGCGCAATTTCTATCGAAAACTTGAAGCCAAAGGGTATGGACAAGGTCCAGGTAAAATTAAGTGAGTATTATGACAAGTCACTCAAATAGTCTAACATGGTCTAGCTCTGTCTTTTATCATTACCCGCGAATGAAGACACTGATAGGGAGTGGGAAACACACCAGAGGTTGCATTTTGTACATGAACCATCAGGGCGAGATAAGGTCCTAGTATATCCTGCAAAAGAGTGACCTTCAAGAGGCTTTTGTGTGGAAGTTTTATTTCTTACAGATTCATATTTTCTTATACTCCCATTCCCTACCTATTTAACAGGGATGTTGGTATTCCTACCTATAATTTGCTAGTAGGAAAATCATCTGTTCAGGCAAATGTCCACCAGAGATTATTAACAGCTACGCCATTGTAGTGATGGAGCAACTCCAAATCCTTTGGATCTACATATCGGTATAACTCGGGACCAGAATATGACCCTATGGAAGTTAGCCTGTACATGCAGGTTTAACTTTCGGTAGTTCTTTGTTTTGGTAGCCCTCCTGGATTTGAACTACAGAGATTTCTGCCTTTCTTCGTGTATTTTGGGGATCTCTGTCACTTGGTTGTGGAGTTTGCTTTCGAGACATCTTGTTAGTTGGCTTTTGAGTCTGTACCTATTTGTGCTCGATCTAGTTATCCAACTTGGCCAAAGGACTATGTTTCTAAGGTATTTCCTGGGCATCTGGTTGAATTTATGCATCAGGTTGGCTTTCCACCAAATCACATCTGTTGTGGAAAAAAAAAGTATGAAGCCAAGCAGTTTATTCCAGGCAAACGTCATCATCAAAATATTCTTACAGAGCTGGGGAGTCCTAGCTGTTGGTTATCCCTTTTGGTGTCCTGCTAAGTGGGTCCAAGGCAGACACGAAACACATTTTTGAAGGTCAGTCTTAAAATGTCCGTGAACATATGAACAAAAAGGATTTCTTGCACAGATGGTGTTTAAATGTACTATTCATTAAGTTGTTTTAGAGGCTGGCAGGGGAGTGAGAGGTGTGTGTATAAACAGAGGCTGATACTCCCTTTGCTTACCCGGCTACAGAAGCAGTAATTCCATGGACATTCACTGGATTAAATCCAGGAAGAGTTTGGGGCCAATCCCAGAAAGCTGTGACCTCATGTACACAGGAAACTCACAGCCCCCTCTACCATACAAATTTGTACATAGAGGGTGTTACAGAGAGTCTTAAGTAGAGCAACACTTTGAACCTAATCACAGGATTGTGAAGAAATTCACCTTTGAGGCATATAGAAAAGCCTAATGAAACAACTCACTCGAAACCCGTAATGGTCAAGTAGCACATCCACCCGTGGATGCAACTTTATTAACTTCTCTGAGAATGAATCTCTGTCTTTACCAGCTCTTGTTTACCTTCAGCCTCACAGGCTCACACGAGACTCAATCATTAGATCTCTGTTTCTGCCTCCCTTTGCAGGTTAATTATACGACGTGACCACTTGCTGGAAGGCACCTTCAACCAGGTAATGGCATATTCACGCAAGGAGCTCCAGCGGAACAAACTCTACGTCACGTTTGTTGGCGAGGAAGGGTAGGGAACCACTAAATGCTATCAGTTTTGAAGTAGCTGTTATGTTGCAAAACACTTAGAGTTGACTACGGCTGAGCCTCTCTTGTTATGTAATGTTTCTTTGGTTTTGTTTTACCTCTGAGTAAGTGATTCATCTTAATCAGCTCAAACATTTGTTAAAAATAACAATAGCAATAATGCTTCACTTTCCTGTAGCACCTTCCATCTAGATGTCTCAAAGTGACAATTTAAATGATTAAATCTAATGTCATCTTGTTGCCATAGGTATTTTGACTGGCTGGAAGGCAAAACTGAACTACAGGCCCATGTTTACACACTGAATCAGTCTCAGGGCTATAATTAGAGACCAGACCTTTATCCCTTTTGTTACTCTAACTCTTCAAAATGGATCTGGTTTTGCTTCAAAAATTTTTGCTTTGCATGCCATCTAATGATCATTTGTTATCCATATGTAGACTTCTTGTTTCTGGCTGAAGCGAGAAACATGAATGCTGTTCAGTCCTTACAGTTTAATTCACCCAGTTGGAAGCTGAAAGTAATAGAAGTCTCTTGAGAAGGCCTTTTCTCGGGAAACTTTCTGCCAGCCTTACAAATCCATGAGCCATTCTTGAATGATTAAAGCCAGCCCCTGACCTTTTGTTTCCAAATCTAAACAGAACCTTTCAAAGCCACCCTGGCTCACCTCAAAAGCTATGTTGTAATTGAGGCTTAATCCACATGCTTTTATAATGGAAAGACCATTGTGCATATTTCCAGTGTTCCATATAACAAAGGCTTGAAATCATATTTCAATAGCTTTGTGTATAAAGTTTCTTTTAAAAAAAAAAAAACAACACAAAACCACATGGATAGGATTTCAGTTCCAAAGGTACCAGAACTGTAAGGCTCTGGGGCAGCTCTCGGCATGTCCAGCAACTGCTGACGCTATCAGCTCTGAGGTGGCGTGTCAAGTGAAGAGCTTCCGCTGAACTGAGCTTGTCTGGGACATGTTAGGTCCAATGGAAAACAGAAGTCACCAATCTCAAAGAGAGTCACTCAGTGACCTCAGTATCAGGGGTTTTCTTAACTCTTACTTTTTATACTCCGTGGATTCAGTATTATTTAACAGAGGTCGTCTTTCGCAGCTGGTTTTGCCTCTGGCTTGCAAGTAAAGCATAAACATGCAGCATACCTCAGTTTGCGTTTTTGGAATAGCGTTCCAGTATGCTAACACTGGCCAAAGTCATGTTGTTTTCCCCACATCTCTAATAACTTTTACTGTGTGTGGCACGGTATCCTCAGGAGAAATTACAAACCAATTTGATTTGCAAATTCATTCATTCTTCACCGATTCATTTACATCTGAAGATACGTTCCCCCAGGGTTTCTGCTGTTTAATGCTATTATAGGTTCTGCTGGAGCGACTCCAAGATACCGGTTCCCTACTGAAAAGAAGAGTTGATGCTGTATGGCCACGTGATGCTGTATGAGCACGGCTTCCCAAGTATTTCAAAGCTAAAATGACATTGAAAATGAACTATGAAGGCTTTATGATGAGTTAATGTGTTGCCCAGAAATGCAATACCTAGTCTCTCCTTGGAGGTTTTTGAATACAGACAGGTGTTGTTTGTAGTTCTTTACTCCAGCCATCATCAGGCTTAGCCCAGTATTTTAATGTCCATTGAACCAGATCTGTTACATGGCTAGCACTAGTGGTTCGTGTGGGCTTATTACCATCCCCTTTTGCTGTTGTGGCTTTAGTCTCACCGCATAATCCTAGAGCTAAAGCCGCTCAAAGTACTGCATCTCCAGATGTAAAACAGAGGAGGATGGGCCAGCCTGCCCTTTATCATCTTTCTAGTTGCACAAATCAATCATTCAACCCCTTGTGGTTATGTTTCCATAACTTCAAACATAATACAAAGCATTCTGATGCAGCTGTAGAGTTTCCACTTACTTTACGTTTGTTAAGTAGGAGAAACAGTGCCCACCTCAGAAAATCTTTTGGCACACGTGATATATGGCTACAAATCACTTGTTCATATTGCTACACGTAGATTTATTTTAGCTTGAAAAATGTACCTACCATTATTAGAGGATGATCTGGTTTTAATAAATCCATCGCAGTTGGGTTTAATGCGTTCACGAAGCTTTTTTGTTGGGTTTTTTTTTTCAAGTTGAGATAATTGGAAACAGCTTGATTTAAAAGTTGGGTTTAAAAAAAAAAAAGGAAAAAAGGTGACTACAGAGCAAAATCATGCAACAGCAAAGCACAGCTTAAGGTGTACCACATGTATTTGAAACTATCAGAAAAGTAGAAGAGCTTGGATGAACAACTGAGGAATCACCATTCTATCTTAAGAGATACAGTTCTGTTGGGACTTGGTCTTGTTCAGCATTGACCTTTAGGTTATACCTATAGCTAAGAAAGCATCCTTGGGGCTGGGTTGTATCTTTGGTTACATCTCAGTGTAGGAGAGTAAGAGCGATTTCTACTTCTGTCTGGGCTGTGAAGCCAGGTGTTCATAGGCAGTTCAAACCCACTCACTGAAAAGCTAGCCCTCTGCTAGCCAGCCAGCTAAGGCAAGGCTGAGCTTCGTACCTCCGATTTACTAAGCCTTTGGAACAAAGGAAAAGAAACTGCTTAAGGGATGTGTCCAAGTTATGATTCCTCCCACATCAACCTGGATGCTGGTGACGTTTCAGCATCGTGACTTGTTTAGGGCTCAGAATCAAGTTTTGAGAGGGGAGATACACCATGTCAGAAACACTTGACTGCACAGGGGTAAGTGTTAGACAGCAGCCAGTGTAGGCAAAACCCAGGAAATTTACTCAAATCGGAATGAGCATCATTTTATCTTTTTTATCTTTTTTATCTTTTCCAGGTTGGACTACAGTGGCCCCTCCCGAGAATTCTTCTTCCTTCTGTCTCAGGAGCTCTTCAATCCCTATTACGGGCTGTTTGAGTATTCAGCCAACGACACTTACACTGTACAGATCAGCCCCATGTCTGCCTTTGTTGAAAATCACCTGGAATGGTAAGCACATTTTATGCAGAATTGAACAATCCTTTTAGAGCAATACAGAAATGGAAATGCAAAACACAAAAGCTGCCAGTTTAGGCTAGACTACATACAAATATCATTGCTTCTGCTGGGAAGAAGTGGGAAGTAGGCTGGGAGAAGGAAGAGAGGGCGTAAGTGTAAATACAACAGCAGGCTCTGAAAAAGGAGTTGTGATGAGGTACTACTACTAAAATGTCCTGCTCACATTACTTGGGACTTCATGTTTGTGTCCTTCTGTGTGAATGTGAAAAGGACAGGGGGAAGAGCTCTGCTTAATCCAGGCCTCCTCTCCTTGGTCCCTCTCTAAGAAATAGCAAGTGTGGTCTTTCTGTACGTCAAGCAGCATTGTGCTTGGAAGCTACAGAGTGTTCTCCAAGAGGTGCATTGCTGCTCTGTACCTACTACAGGCCTTAAAAAAGGCCCAGCGAAAGCAGTTTCCCTTTTCTCCCCTGCCAGAGCGTCCCTGCTTGTGTGTGGCAAGGCCAGCAGAGCAAGCAGGTACTTTGCCTTACCAAGTATGCGTGCAAACAAATTGCTGATCTTGTTTCTTTATCAAAAATTCTGATTGCATATTGTGATCTCCTCATTTTTCTCTCTGCCTCCAGATCTGTCCATCTTCGGGACTTGTTTTCCCTTTGATAGTTTCAGATGTGGTTCAGTGAAGTATGGGCTGCCAGCCCTGGGTGTCGTTTGATCCCTTGTGGGATTTCATTGTGTCAAAGAAATACTGCCACATGGGTTTGTTCCTATGATGTTTTTCTTTGTCTAACCAATCTCGCTGGCTCCTCTCAGAGATCCTTTTTTAAAACGGAAGGCAGTTCAGGCCCCTTTTAAATTGCAAATAGCACATGCCTTTCTATTCTTGTAAACAGGTCCTCCTTTGCTTTGGCTTACAGTGAGCAGGAGATTGAGAACAACTAAGTGGTTGTACCATCACCTCTATTAAGGTTGCAGTGGAAAAAAAGGGATTTTGCTGGGACCTGGCATGTCTCTCTGAATTTTTTTTTTTTTTTTTTTTTTTTTTGCATTATCACTTCCAGCAGTGGAGCATTATGCTAACAATGATCCTTGCGTTAGACTGTCTGCTGACATTAGCAGGAAGAAAGCAGCTTAGTTCTTACAGCTTGTCCATCTCCCACTGCAATCCTTAAACATTGTGCAGTGGCTTCCTAGTTTTCAAGAAGAAATACAGTCTGTCCTTTGTTCGGCTGAACAGGCAGCATGGATAAAGTTTTGATTTAAGAGGCTGTATTTGTGAAGATGCATTTTGATTTCAGGGCACAGGACTACTTAGGTGCAAACCCAAGATCATTCTGCCCACACTGTGAGCAAACTGGACGCAGGCCTCTCTCTCCAGAAACGGTGTTGCCATTTTATCTCAGAGGTATTTGAAATAGGCCCTGACTCCTCTCTGTTATAAATACTGTCGTTGCGAAGAGTTCAATGCAGTTTTCTGAAGTGATAAATTCTGCTGCAGAAAGTATATACTTTGTTTGATCCCCTCATTTTGTTGTTCTGTTCATTGAGAGATTTCTGCATGGAAGAGGCAGATTTTGAAAGGTACCCTGGGCATACGGAACAGCAGAAAGACACCTGATAGGATTTTCTGTAGCAGTTAGCATTTAACTCAGAAATCGTTAGCAGTTAGACACTTAGGATAATATTTCTCCAACTACACATATCTATACAGGCTTCTTGTATAGAGAATGTTATTTGGGCTTTGGGTATTTTTGGTTTTCTTTTTCTGGGGAAGAGAAATGAAGTCCCTTGGCCTGCAGAAGGAAATAAATGCTATGAACCAAGAGGTTTGTACATAAAGTAGTGTAAAGAGGGCAAGACTGCAGAACCCAAGGGAAAGATAAGCAATCCAGTAAGTGCTTGGAAATACTTCTTGAACCTGTTATGGAAATAACTGGCTGAGACCAGCAGTTTATAATTAGCCCGATAGGTTTCATGATTGGCTTGTAGATATCTAGATATTCTAATTGTTTTTATGCTGTCTATGTTGACTGATCTCAGCTATTCATGTGTAACCCTAGAGTACTGTATTCAGAAGTCTGTGCAGCCAGCTAAGATAGGATTTGGACCAAGCTTTTTAAAACTCAGAGTACAATTCTCCCATAAAGACTTTATAGGCTAACTTCTCTTGAGGGCAGTGTACTAACTTGCTTGTCATTATTTGTTCATGAAGAATGGGGTTTTCTGAAGTTCTCAGTCTTTCTCCAACTTTCTTCTCGTCAAATTGCCAAAACTTCTGTTTCTCAGATTTACTTGTTGATGTGATTCCGGCAGAGCCTCCTCCCTCTAACATGCAAGAAAAAGATTATTTGCCTGTTCCCAGATCTGTTATGAGACATCAGGTAACATAGATGGATGAATCAGTTTTCAGAGTCCCAGGGTCACAGATAATTAATATTCATAGTCTTTTCAAAGCTTGAAGTTTGGTGTTGGTCATGAAAACCACACAACCACAATTGGTTTAGATTTGCAGATTTCTTGAACTGTATGCCTTTTGTTGCTGTGGGGCTTATCTTTTATGTGGAATCTACCCTTGACATGTTTTTCTGTATAGTAATTCTGCAAGACCTATCCAGACAGGGCTATATTGAGAAACAGGGCGAGCAAAAAAATTCCCTCAAAATTATTTTACATTTTCTCTTCCTTAAGCAAACAGCAGTGAGTTTGAGATAAATACAACAAAATGCAAAGATGTGAAGTTTTGTTCATATTGGCAGAATTGAGAAATACACTGCTTTTTCCCCTGGCCTAAAAGTTACAGTTCTGCCCCTGTTAATGGCTTATTTCATGCCTTGCTCTTTGTACAAACAGCATTCTGAGTCCAAAATGAGCACATCAAAGCACAGAGTAGTTGTATGTATGCCAAGTTTAAAAAGAGACATAATGACTGGAAAATATTTCTCATTTATGGAGAAACTGAGATTTAACACCTTTCCTGCAAGCTTCCATTGAATAAGACTTTTTCCTTCAGTTAACGTATGTGCATGCTGAACACACAAAATGTAAGATACCACACATTTTCAAAGTTAAAAAAATTATTTTAAATCCCCCTGTATCTGAAAGGACACAGTTACGTCTCTCTAGACCTAAGGAGTTTGATGGTACACATCTTTATCTGCACGCTACAGGAAGCTCATAGCCAGAAGAGCTGCTTTTAATCCATGCCAGTAATGAGCCATTCTGTCTGATCTAGGTAACATGTCTAGCTCTTTGCCTGGATTTTTGAAAACATCATCTAAAATACTGTTTACACCCCCACTTACGGTAGTTTGCCCTTCTCCAAATAAGTGAGCAAAATGTGGTGGCAGCTGCTAGATATTATTTCAGTGAAAAGAATATGGTTTAGCCCAGAAATAATATTCTTGTCTTTGTTCTTGGTCAGGTGTTTTGGGCAACTGAAATAGGGAGAGTCACTGAAGAATCCTTCTTGAAGTTTTGCTCAATATGGTGGGAGACAGAGTGGTGGGGAATATTAAATGGTTCTATCACAACCTCATGCAAAGTTAGAGGTGTAATATTCAGTACAGCTCCGTAATGCTGAGTTCTTACACACTAATAAATGGCTCCTAATAGCTTGCCACCTTAGCTTCTCACTTTCCTCCCTGCTAACAGTCCTTTGGAAGATTTTAGGCTGACTTTGTTCCCTGCAGCACTGAAGCACTGGGGTCCAGGATGCCCAATATTAGAGGGTATACAAAGATACTTTTTCACTGGGGTGAAAAAGGTGTCTGTCTCTGATTTGAATGACTGAGGTTTGATTGAATATTGTAGTTCTTTTCACCAAAAATAAGTAAATAACAAAAGGTTGGATGGGTAAATCAACCCTGAGGGAAAAAAAATCCTGACGCATAATAGATGGGAGGAGATGTGTTTCTAAATTCTGGGAACAAATTACCTAGTTCCAGAGTTTGCATAGTCTCGAATCTTCATGAGGGTCACTGGTTACTCTCCCTGTCATCTTCATGGTGCATTTTCAAGAGGTCTAGAAAGTTGCTGGTGTCTTTTCACTGCATCTCATTCGCTCTGTATTGTAACAAAATGATTTGTCTAATCATGCTGTGATACACTGTGGTTTTCCTCAGGTCTTTATTTTGTCTATCATTTTCCATAGTATTTCCCTACTCGGCTCTAGCTAAGCAAAGTGGGAAACTGAATGTTTTTCTGTGGTGATTTCTGTATCATTTTCACCAAACCTGAAGAGTATTATCTCTGTGCTGTTTCATTGTTCATGTGGCTACCAATTTCAGATGTTATGATTTGGCTGTCGTTGTAGTATCGCATAAGGAGTTCTACTTAGAATAAAGCAATTCTCAGTGTTTTCTCATGAACTTTCCCTCCCTGCTGTGAGTGCTTAATCTGACAGTGACAACAAAAGTACTGTGGTCTTTTCAGTTCACAAAACGCTGTGTTCGCAATCTGCTGTCAGGTGGAAATCCAGTCTCTCTTTTTCACGTCTTGAGTGGGTCAGAGTTTTCCTTCGCAGCAGTCCTGCCCCCAGGAGTAATCCAGGAAGATAATGTAATGCACCCTTCTTCAAGAGACAGCGCTGTACTTATGGCACCGTCATCTGCACCAGACTTTTTGTCCCCAGATCACTTGCCTGGTCTTTTATCTGACTCGCCTCAGCAATCCATTTCACATCATCTACTTTTGCATTTTTTGTTCATTGCATGTTTGTAAATGTAGGACCACAGCCAGAAATGTGAAAAGAAGCCCAGTCTCTGCATAGAAGACCAGATGGCCTAGACAGATAAAATCATTCACAGACATTCATTTGGAGATCTGAGGGATGCTAACTTGAAACATCTTCTTCTGTGTTTTCATAGCGAATTAATGACAGCATGTTTTTTTTTTAACAATTAGGCATTTACGGACCTTGCTGTGACATTTATGCAGCTGGGGAGCAGCACCCCAGTGTCACAGTTAGAGGTATTTACAGTTTGCTAATCATACTT